CCCCACCAACTGTCACCCCCCCCCCCCAGTGTTCCACCTTACTGAGCGTCCGTGATTACATTTGAGAGTCATTTCATTTGGATATCTATAGCTGTAAACAGTTTTTTTCACGATTCGAGCTTATTCCGAAATCTATCAATGTTTTGCTATTTCCCCGGCATCCACACACTTTGAATGCCACTGTTAACCCCCGATAAATTGAGAAAATATCGATACTATCACCTGCCACTGTGGACCGATTTAACGTTGCTTCAAAGTGCCCGAAGGTATTAAGTCAGCCAAACAGTGCCTTCAGTACATTTGGAGTATTCGGGATTCCTTTCCCAATACGGCGATCGCCTACAGAATCTTGCAAACAGTTCGAGTCACAGTGGCAAGCGCCGAAAGAAGTTTCTCCAAACTGAAGTTGATCAAGAACTATTTGAGATCAACGATGTCCCAAGACAGGCTCTGCGGCCTGTCGATTCTGTCAATAGAAAAAGACATAGCCTCCAGTTTGTACTATGATGATATAATCATGGAATTTTCCTCACGAAAGGCAAGAAAAGTAGATCTTCGTTTGTGAACGTACTGGTAAGATTTTCATAAATAAACATTAATGTAAAAAAATCAGGTTTGAAGCTGACGTTCATCGTCTCTTTAATGCGTGTCTCAAACTTATATCTGTTTTATTTTTTACTTTTCAAACAAAAAGCCTTAACAGAAAAAAGCAACGTTTCAAAAGCACTTTTAAGTAAACAAATTATTTGTTAATCAGTGTCTTAATGTTAATACGAGATTGATAAACAGCTTAAAAATACCATATATATCGTTATAAATATTAATTCGCTTTGAGAAGAAAAAAAAAAACGCCTCACTGTACATGTTTTATTTAATTATACACCAATGAAAAAAATATAAGGCCCCGCGCGGATGGTTGGCCATAGGCCCCGCGTACCCCTAACGCCGGCTCTGAATAAAACTAAAACTGATTTAGAAGAATTAACTGTGTAGAAATTGTCAAGTATCACTGATTGGTTTAATGTCACGAGGAATATTAATTTCTTGTATAATCACAAAGCCAAATAACTATTCGGTAATCAGCAAAAGTAAGTTTAAAATATAGACCACCCGATATCTTCAAGTAAATGAAAAGAAGAGATAATTTTTTATAAATAATTTTTTTAAAATTGTATAAGAGACAAAAAATAGTGTCACTTATAATATAATAAAAACAGAAATGGAGCAAATTTTAGAAAAGATAAAAGTGTTACCAGAACGGCATATTTATTATGAAAGAGTATTACAGTTAAGTTAGAGAATTTCTTGTAAAGTCTATAACTATAAAATATTAAAAAATAAATTTAAAAAAAACAAGTCATTTGGTAATCGAAAAAAAATAATTTCCTATAAAAATATACATTAATAGCTCAATACTAGGAGATGGATAAAGTAGAAGGTAATACATCTAAAACATCAAACTTTAATGGATCACCCATTCATGACGTCAACAAAAATGTAACTTTCATCTCTCTCTACCCCCATTCAACATGCGTCAACAAAAGTCAATTTTTCTAGTCCCCGTCCCCTCTTGGTGACGTCAAAAATGGACGACCCTAAGTTTCTATCTTAAGGGTTGTAGTAAACTAGATTATGACCCTTTGTTCATAATAAAATAATAAGCCTCTTTTCAAATTGTTTTCATTTAATTACAATCAATCAGTTTTATTTTGCTGAAATGTATATATATATATATATATATATATATATATATATATATATATATATATATATATATATATATATATATTGTTGTGTTACATGTTGATGTATACCAGAAACAAAATTGTGATAATCCAGATTGAGGCTAGAACTACAAGAGAACTTGAACTGAAGGTCCCGTCTGGCAACTCTATATGAAAGTCCATGTGTCCAGTCACATACAGACTGATGTTGTATGGAGCCTGTTCTGGTCTGTTAAATATTGTTTCGTTATAACATACATTTTTTGAATACGAGACAAAATTAGATATAACACGATCTGTTTTTTAGATATGGCCATTACATGATTAGTAAGTAGGTATATTAATCACATATTATAAAACATGTTCGGTCCATTATGGATAGCTAATTTAATATAGATAAGATGAAGACTATAAGCATAGACAATAAATTTATTTATTAGCAAGGAAAACCCGGGATAAAATAATAAAGCAAGACAAACACTTACTCCGCCATTTATCTGTTTTACAACTTGGTATAACTCAGATCTGATAAACGCTGACAGGGATGGCGCAATTGGCGTCTGAAATATAAACAAATTGCCCATTTGAAGAAAAAAATAAATGTATCCGAAACGTTAACTAGGTTGGAGATTAGTTATAGGGTTGTAGTCAGTGTTTCTTCCAGACTTTTTTTTTCTTTCCCGGGCGAGGGGAAGGGGGGGGGGGGCGGGGCTTCTGAAATATTCGCGGATCAGACATAAAATTTCCGGGGGGGGGGGGAGGCGGACACTGTTAAACGGATATATTTCCTATATAAATTTCATTTCGTTCGGGGGGGGGGGGGGGGGGGGGTTGACTTTCATCGGGGGGGGGGGGGAGGGGGGGGGGGGAGGAGGAATGCCGAAGAGATGCCTGACTGGAAGAAACTTTGGGTTGTAGTCTGGGAAAAATTCATAAAAAACGTTTTAATAACAAGCTTTTATGAAATAATGCACTAAAAAGTTGAAAATAAATTATACACTACTATTTAAATAACTATATAGAAAAGCGAGGGTCACTTTAGTATCTATTGGAAACCTTTACTGTTATTTAGCAAGAGACACACGTTTTTCTTTATAGTAATTTAAATAGTAGTGATACTTTATTTTCTACTTTTTAGTGCATTATTAAATAAAAGCTTGTTATTAAAACGTTTTTTTATGATTTTTTTTCCAGTACTTTATATGTTTTATTTACAATAGAGTTACATGACTAAAAACCATTGAGCGTCTATTGAACGTGATGGCGCAGCTATTGAACGTAATAACGCGCTTTTGCCGCTATGACGCGTGTGGATAGAACTGCGTACTAATTTGGTCAAAATTTTAGTAATTCATAAAGAATTAATCAAGCGACCAATGAAATCAAATTTAATGTCACGATGCATAGTCTTCATGTCTTGACCAACGTACCAATTACGAACCGTATATGTCAGATGTGCGTGCAATTTCGCTCCGGCATTTCGATCTAGACAGACTGACGACAGACTGTCGACAGAGGAAGTGAGTTCAATATTAGCTTGTAAAAAATAAATATTTTTGTCAAATTTCTATAAGGGGATATAACCGATCAAAGCAGCATTTTCCAAAAATATGAACTAAGTAGTTTCCCTTTAAATGCAACATTTTAAATATTACACTTCCTTAATTCTCTCTCCCCTACCCCCGCCGCTCTCATTACACATCGTCTCAAAAGTCACAAACTACGTACAAAGGTTATGACTAAGATAAAGCTTATGTTATATGTAATAGCTAATATAAAGTAAATTTTTTTAACAACTATTCAGTTCACAGGCGTGTCTCTAAAAATACCCCTTAAATACGAATTTAAATTTAAAACTCGTACATAAAATCGCATAAAAACAAACAAAAAAGTTAATTTTTAAGAATCTGATGAAAAATATTTAGTAGAAGCTACTACGGTCGCAACATTACAATAACCTGCGAGGGCCTTCTTGCTACACTAATTGTTATCCACTTTATTTGTTGTTGATGTTGTGTGGTGTGTGTTTGAGAGAAGGACCAAGACATGAGGGAATACAGCCCATTTAGTTAAACCCCCGCATAAAACTCTATGCTATGTCTTCCAGTAAGACTTAGATCTAAAAATATATTTCACTGTTGACTTTGTTCCAGTCATATCTCACCATAATGACTACAAATAAAAAAATTGTTGTCAGATTTCATATTGAAATCAAAAACATAACAAACTTTAAATTGGGTTTATTAAATACTTTATTGTGATTTTAAAAACGTATTTTAAAATACTCGGTGTAAAATGTCATTAAACAACTGTCGTGTAATATTAATGGGCAAATATTTAGGCAATCTTAAAAGGGACTACTCTATTTTAGTAATACTAATATACATACTTACATTAAGACTTGCTATACATTTGAGTTATATTAAAAAATTGTTATACTAAAACAATAAATAAAACCCTAAACAAACTAATGAGATAAATTAATGCACCTTATATTAAGTAAAAAATTTACGGCTTTTAGAAAGCCTAGAAATTTTAATTTTTTTTTTAGCGATGACGCTAAACAAAAATAAAGGGAAATAATATTTAAAAAAAACCAACAACTTACTTGAAATATGTTTTTCAGATATATCCAGTGTTATTTTCTAAATAAAGTTTATTCTATTAAACTTTTGATGAATATATTTAATTTGTTTATTACATAATACGATTTGAACAAGCAAATTTAAAACAAAATTTCTGCTTTAAAAATGAGTGCAGTTAAAAACTATAGATGGTAGAAACACTGAAAGTATCACTTTATAAAAATGTTGAAATAAACAATGTTCAACACGAACCGCTTCATACTGTGTCAGTGGCAATTGCCCTTATAGGCCAGGTTACACTCCGCAAATCAGTTCGCTGACACGAATCGCGATAAAACTTTGGACCCGTTTCTCACAGGTAACAACTAGGTACCGAAATACCAAAAACATGAAAAACATCGAATCTTTAGAAAAATCTTACAAAAAACAACATTCCAGTTTTCATAACCACATTTGTTGAGTACCATTTAAAAAAAAGTAGTTCCATCGCCACAACAGAGCTATCCAAATGGGTGCTAGTTTGGATACCCCGAGACGGGCGGGGTACGTATGCATATCTACCTTACTATTTATGAATGTATACATATATGTTTACATATATATAAACATATATATATATATATATATATATATATATATATATATATATATATATATATATATATATATATATATATATATGTTCAGAGCTCTCTTTTCTTGAAAACAAAATAAAATATTTTAATTTTCAGGGTTTTCCCAATATAAACTGTAACTCTGTAGTTGTGTTTCCACTATGAGTGAGATGACTACGAGAAATATTTCATTTAATTATTCAAATACTACAATTACGACTATCGCTTTTCAATATAGATTAATGCTGAAAAAGTCAGCATTACAAGTATTTTTGGTGTCTTCTACTCATTTAGAAAATTAATTTTTAAAATACTTTTACTAATACGCAAATGACTATTTAACGATTAGCATATGTGTTTTGGCTATGTAACTGTGTATTTTAGAATATCTAGCTTGCCATTTTTTAATATGTTACATTTCAGCAAATAACAGTTAAAATACAATAAAGACTTTTGATTTTCGTTCTATCGAAATAAAGTACATAATTTACTAATGTAATTAAAACATGTGATAATCATCGCATAGTAATTACATTTTCCTTTATAGGTCATGATGTAGTTACATCACTTAATTACAAATACTTAATTTTATTAACAGATTGTGAATATTAATTCATCTTCGTCTTAAAAACACAACTGAATTTTATGAGCATCCGTTGGGTAAAGCTATGTTTTAAAACTAAAGAAATACTGCATATATTAATGTAGATATTTAATGCAAATATATTCAGGTTATACATGTTGCAACTTTACAAATCTTTTATTACAGGTGATTTAAAAGATTTATAAAAATTAAATTGAATTAGAAGAATTAATTGTGTAGAAATTGTAAAGTATCACTAATAATTTTAATGTTCAAGTAAATGACAGGAAGATATAATTTTCATAAATATTTTTTTTTAAATTGTATAAAAAGATAAACAAATATTAACAATTAATATACAATGAATATATAAATATACAATGAATACACAAATAGTGCAAGCTTTAGAACAGACAAAATTGCTACCAGAAAGTTAAACATATTTATTTTGAAAGAGTGTCATAGTTATGTTTCAGTATTTCGTGTAAAGCCTGTGTAAAGCCTGTATCAATATCTACTAGAACGTTAAACATATTTATTTTGAAAGAGTGTCATAGTTATGTTTTAATATTTCGAGTAAAGCCTGTATCAATATCTATCAAAAAACAAAAAAATAAAAGACAAAACAAGTCAGTTGTTGATCTATAATAAAGTAATTTCCCATAACAGTATACACTCGAGTAGCACAATAGCTCAATAAAAGGGAATGAAAAAATAAGAAAGGAATACATCTAAAACATCAAACTTATCCATTCATAACGTATACAAAAATGTAGTTTTGAACCCTCCCTACCGTCATTCCACATGTGTCCACAAAAGTACATTTTTTCTAGCACACCCCCCCCTCACCAAGGACGTCATAAATTGATGATCATATGTTGCTATCTTCTTAAGGGTTATAGTAGACAAGCGTATGACTCTTTGTTCGTCCCTTGGTTGTACATAATAAGCCTCTTTTCAAATTGTCTTCATTTAATTACATTCAATAAGTTTAAATGTGCTGACAGTTTTATTGTGCTGATATATATATATATATATATATATATATATATATATATATATATATATATATATATATATATATATATATCTTATGTTGAGTTACATGATATTGTACATAAGCAACAAAACTGTGATAATCCAGATCGAGGCTAGAACTACAAGAGAACTTGAATTGAAGGTCCCGTCTGGCAACTCTATATGAAAGTCCATGTGTCCAGCCACATTCAGACTGATGTTGTATGGAGGCTGTTCTGGTCTGTTAAATATTATTTTAATTATAATATTAATTTTTTGAATACAAAACAAAACTAGATATTACATTATTAGTAATTTTTTTTGTACACATGCAAGTTGGACATTACATGATCAGTAATACACATGATAATCACAAAGTACATCATCAGTTATAAATTCTTGGTATTTCATTAAACTATATACATGCATTTAAAAAAAACAAGCTTCAATGTAGCCAAATAAATACCAAAGAAAGCCTAGTAGATCTACTAAAATATACAGAGCAGGACAATAAAATACTTACATTGCCATATCTTTTTTTTTACGGCTTGATAAACATAAAAAGCAAAATAGTGGCGACTGAAATAAACAATTTAAAAAATTGTAATAAAAAAAATGGATAGACTTTAGAAATTGAATTTTACTGGAATACCAGATGCCGTTAATATTAACAAACCACGTAGACAAAAAAAAAAGAATAGCTTGCTTTTAAATGCAGTGAAAAGTTGAAAATAAAACAATTAAATAGCGGCGTATGTTACGTCGCGGGTCGGCTCGATCTATTTAACTAGGGTTTCTTCCAGACTTTTTTCTTTGATGGGGGGGGGGGGGGGGGGGGGGAAGGAGCGGACAACATTTACATGGGCGCGGACACCGCTAAAAGTAGCCTACATGTTTTCTATATGAATTCCATTTCGTTCGGGAGGGGGGTGGGGGGGAGATGGGGGCAAACTCTGCATTTCACCCAAAAGGTCGAGTATCACTTATCCCTTGGCGACTTGCGTTGTATTAATGAATTGAGATTTGATGTAGTTTAAAATAATCTGTATTTACTAATACATCGATTATTAACTTTTGACGACTTTCGTTACCCCCCCCCCCCCCCCCCCCCCCCATCTTCTCACATAGAAAGACAAAAGTCTCAATTGTCCCCTAAAACTATATTTTAGCCCACCCCCTACATATTTGGAAATTTTTTTTTGGTCCCATAAGGGGATATAACTAGCCAATATTGTATTTAAAAAACAAAATTAGTTAAGTAGCTTCCCTTTACACTGAAATATGCTAAATGCAACACTTTGACGCAATACTTTCTTAAGTCTCTCCCCTACCCCATCCTTAAACATCGTAAAATAAACCGGGAGTGATCTCCCCTAAACGTTCTCGAAATATCTAATATAACACTACGGGGGATGGCAACTCGGGATATAGACTTCTAGACATGAGTTTTAATCCATTTTAAATACTCAAACTTTTTAAAATAGAATAAAATATCGTAGAAAAAAGAATTGCACACCAAGTGAACGCTAAATAAAGATGTGCATAATAGTGCGCAATATTATTAGTACTTTATAAATTTACATGCGTTTTTTGAGAAATCGGAAATAGCATAAATAAGTACTTCCGGTCAACGTAAATTACTCAAAATTTGACAGAAGGTAGAGAATTAGATCTTTTACTTACATGGGAAATTTTATTTATCTATCTGAAATAGTACCCAAGTTATAGGCTTTTGAAAAAAAATCTAAGTAGAAAAAGTACCACTTCCGGTTATTGGAAATCGCTCAAAAGTTGATACGGATCTACGATTTTGATAAAATACTCATATATGAAATTTCATCAACCTAGCTGTAACGGTACTCAAGTTATCGTGTTTACACACACACAGACACACAGACACACAGACAGACACACAGACATACGGACAAGATTGCAAAATTATGTTTTTCCGTATCAGTGAGATGTAAAACGTCGAGATTTTTAAAAATCTCGATTATTTTTTTGCACGATTACAAGACTTTCTCTATAGGCCCTACTTCGTATATACGAGAAAGTAAAAAAAGTCACAACCTACTTACAAATGTTATGATTAAGTTATATGCAATAGCTGATATAAAATAACATTTTTAAGAATCTTCAGTTCAAACGAGTGTCTAAAAATACCCTAAAATACGAATTAAATCTGGTGGCGAGGGCAGTACAAAAAATGTGCATTAAAAATGTTTTCAGTATCTGATTAAAAATGTTTCTAGTAACAGATACTACGGTCTCATCAGTAAAAAAAAAACAAACAGGGGATTACACGCGATGACCTGTCTTGCGACACTGATTGTTATCTACTTCATTTGTTGTTGATGTTGTGTGTGTGTGCGGTGGTGTTGTGTGTATGAGAGAAGCACCAAGACATCATCGAATACAGCCCATTTAGTTGAACCCCCTCCCCCACATAAAACTCTATGCTATGTCTTCCAGTAAGACTTAGATCTAAAACTATATTTAACTGTTGACTTTTTTCCAGTTATATATCACCATGATGACCTTTTGCATTTTTTGAAAAACATTTACAGATGAAAAAAAAATTCTGATTTTATATTGAAATCAATAAAATGACAAACTTTAAATAGGTTTATTAAATACTTTAAGGTGATTTGAAAAACGTATTTTAAAATACTCAGTGTAAAATGTCATTGAACTTCTTCCCTTTTTAATATATTAATTGATACCACTATAATGAGTAGATTAAATAACTGTCGAAAGATGAAAAGACAGGGCTATTCTTCGACCTACATAGTTAAGCTCGTTAAAGTACACATAATACTTAATGTGACTACTCTATTTTGGTAATATAAATTGTTATACTTACGTTAAGACTTGCGATAAAATAAATAAAACCCAAAACAAACGAATGAGATGAATTAATACAACTATTTCTCTATATATCAAGTAAACACATTACTGCTTTTAGAAAGCCCAGATTATTTTAATTATTATATGCGATGAGAGAGATATTGCGTTGACGCCAAACGAAAACAAAGGGAATTAATATTTAAAAAAAAACAGTTTACTAGATATTTTGCTGATAAATTCAGTATTATTTCTAAAGAAAGTTTATTCTATTGAAGTTTACATAATTATATTTTATTAGCCTATTAAGTAATCATATTGTAACGGTCAAATAAAAAAAATATTTCTGCTTTGTAAAATGACTCCAGTTAAAAACTATAGATTGTAGAAATACTGTAAAGTAGCACTATTTAAAATATTGAAATCTTATATACAGCAACGACACATACTGCGGTGAGTTTTTATAGGTCACGATGTTCGTTGAAAGAAATCATGATAATTCTTAGGCTGCGTTTACACTACACGTCGGCAGACCGAATTTCTGTTTCTGGCAACAAGGCCGAACAACTGGAAAGCAAACAAAAAGTATAATCCAGTACTGTTGGTTACACTAGATCCGAACTCATCGTCCGAGTCTTCAGGCACCTGATGATGAACTTAAAATTTTGTTTCTGTTCTGACGGAAAACACATTCTGATGAAAATTTATCTGGCAGGGATAAACAAAAAAGAAAATGGAGGGCTTCAGTACAAATAACGTTGTTGTGGTACTTGACACGGAGAAGCTTATTTTACTAGTTCAAGAGAGAACGCCACTATGGGATACATCGAACCCATGCTACCACAATAGAGACATCTCAAAAAAATTATGGTCTGAAATAGCTGATGAACTCGGATGTACAAGTTAAGTAACAAATTAAGTCATTGTTGTGATGTGATTCTAGATCTAGATCTAGATTCTATATTCTATTCTAAATTTCTATACTAATACTTAACTGCTTAACTACTAGAATTACTAGATCTAGATTCTTGCTTACTTTAGTTTAGACTTTTAGTAGACTAGCTTTAGACTTTAGCGGCTTAGCCCCACTTTTACTAGATTCTAGATCTAATCTAGAATCTAGATCTACTAGACTAGATTTAGATCTAGATTTTAGATCTAGAATCTAGTAGATCTAGATCTAGGTCTAGTACTAAAAGATCTAGTCTAGATCTAGTGATTGATTCTTCTACTCAACTCAATTTTACCACTACTTTTGAATCTAAATCTAATAGGGCAGGAAACAGATTCAACCCTCAAGCATCTACTTTTAGGGTCGATTTTCGCCAATTTTCAAAGTAACAAATATTGACATATTATATATCAATTTTGTTGCTTAACAATCGAGGAATTCAAAAATATAAAAATTAATAGCACTAGACATTTACATCACGTTCAAAATGTAGATTAACCACACTCACTCAACTGAGATTTTTTTTACATCTAAATGTAGTGAGGTCCAAAAATCCACGAAATTCACAAAATTAACAATATAATTACACAGAAATGTCACTTAGGCATACATTTATTTGTAATTATGTCAAACTTTACAAAATATACCAGTTTATAGCTTATTTCTATAATTATTCTTGAGAAAAAAAACGACCGCCCTCCCCTTTAAAATTCTGGCTTTTAGAAACACTCTGGGGAAGAAAAAAATAACAGAGTTAAATATAGAAGGTCTATATAAAAAACATAATTAATAAAATATGTCTATATGCCAATTTTTAATATAGTTGCAGCATTTACATGGCTAATTATAATTGTTTAGTACTTTGAACATTAATTTAAAGTTACGACTGTCTGTGGCGTCATTCAAGTGTAGTGTCAGTGTAGGTGAACAGGGTGTTAGGGCCTGATACGATTTCATTAGAATTGGTAATGAACAGAATGTATAATTAGAACTGGCATATAAAAACAATGTTGATAATAGATGCAGTTGTTTTAATGCTACTTATAATAGTTCAAAGTGACAAACATAATTAAAACCTAAGAATCTGGAAGCGGTGACCTCATTTTACTGACACGGTTGTCAAATAGTAAGTGAATAGATCTAGATTTAGAATCTACGTAATTTTGAAAATACGCTAGTTCTAGAAGCAAAATTACTTTTAAAAACTGAAGTTAGTGATTAGATCTATAATGAAATTGAAATCAACAACTGATATGTAAGTATCTTTTGATTTAAAAAAAAAATACGCTTAGTTCAAAGAAAAAAAATTCTATGGTGTACTCGATCCCTATCCCAAAACGTGCCAGCCATATCGCATGCGTAGTCAGCTACTCAGCTGCTTATCAAATCGATGAATTTTAAAATTATATAATAAAAGTAGGTCACCCTAAAAAAAAAGAGTAAAATGGCTCCCGTTTTCACGACAGCCGTCACTCGATTCATAATTTACAGAGTTATAAAGTTCTACTTTCTTTTGGCTGTAGATTTAAAGAAATATTAATTTGTTATTTCTCATGCGTTCCAACAATTGTACCTAATTTTAATAAACATTAGATTAGTAAGGACTCGATTCTTTTTAGAATTAGCCCTCGACACTATACAGACTATTGCGAAGAAACAGACTCGCGCGAATGTCGTGCGTAGGCTGGTTCAGTGGCGAAGGTTAGAAGCCAATTTGCGACGGAAAATTTTTACTTTGAAATAATTACATTATCAATTAATTTCGATTTAAAACAAATGGCTTAAAGTCAAAAGTAAACTAAAATTTAAAAACTTTGTTATTCGCAGTGTACTCAAGATTCTCGTGTTTTAAAGATAAGTCTAGTTTTACTACGCGTGCGTGCATGGTGCGAATACCGATTTTCCGCGACAGAAAATCATTAAAAATATAAAAAAAAGTATCTACGGCAAAATAATAATTATATTTTACAGAATTAAATAGATTTAACTTAACTGTTATTTAAATACATGCTTCGGAGTAAAAAAATACAATTTTATATCCGTAAAAAATTAACTGAAATTCCCGCTTTCAGCGACGCCGATGTGTCGTAATTTTCGGCAGTCATTTTGTTCAAATTAAAGTAAAAAACGCATTCAAATATACTTTTTTTTTACTTTCATAATTTACAGCAATCATTTCTAATGAAAAATCCATAAAAAAATAATAGTTATTTTTACAAAATATTATTTCTTACCTCATTAGTGCAGTACACGTACTTTCCAAGTAGATCCATTCCGTCCAGATTTGCATACTTCGCATCCTTCGCCGCGGCACAAAATGTCATAAAAAACGAATTCCACAAAAATGTTGCTAACGAAGCTTGTAAAAACCTTGCTCTATTTATCAGTATAAACAAAATCCCCGAACGATGTCTGGTTAGAAAGTTTATGAACGGCGAAGACCGAATATGCATTTTGCGGTACCAATCTGTTTCCTGCCATATTTAATAGTTAATTAGTATTAGACTTTAGACTAATACTAGTAATACTAATTAAGTATTATTATTTACATTTAAACAAGGTAGTCTAGTAGAAAAGTCTTGATAGCTATCTATCTACTCTACTAACTTAACTGAACTTAATACTTAACTAAACTAACTAAATGTAACTGATGTAACATGTTGCCTACTCTGTCATTGACTAATCAGTGATCACTAATGAATGATTATTTACTATTTAGTAGAGAAGAGACTAATGTAATTGATTTAATTAAATTACTAATAATCAAGTAGCAAATTACTAGTAAACTAGTAATAAGTAGTAGAATTAAAATTAAATTAAGTAGAATCTATCTATAGGTCTAGTAGGCCTAAATGTAGAATATAGATCTAGCTATTTATTAGTTAACTATTTAACTACTATAGTCTATAGTTGAACATTTTAATTTTTACTGATTAGCATAGCTACTAAATATTAAATATCAAAGATGACTGTTTTATTTAATTATTAAATTAGCCATTAGCTTATGTAAACATTTAATTATCAGCCTGTAGAAAGAATGGTGTCTGAATTCAGAAATAAATATATTAAATGGAAGTTAAAAGCATATAATCTAAATTGTTTTGTTTGTATATTTCAGTGTCACAAGCAAAAGCCAAATGGCAAAATTTACGAGACACCTTTAGGAAAGAGCACACAAAGAACATAAAAAAAGTAACTGGAAGTGCAGCAGCTAACACTAAAGTACCATGGAAATACATAAATCAATTAGCATTTTTAAATGATGTTTTTGTTTCTAGACCAATGCTAAGCAGTTTTCCATATACATCAAGTTCTGAATTTAGTGAAACTATTGTGGCTGAAATAAATTTCAACAATTCGGACTCACTGGACGAAGCTGCTGTGCGAGATCCAGAAATAGTTCTGCCAATTGAAAAACCAAAGCTACAATGCAAAAGAAAGGCAGACAAAGCTGACGCCATTAATCAGTTGATAACATTAGAGAAAAAGAAATTAGAACAAATTGAAAAGATTAATGACAAACAGGAGATCAAGAATGATGATAACTACCATTTCCTGATGAGTTTATTACCATATTTTGAAGATATGCCTAAAAGAGTGAGCTTGTTAACAAGGATGAAGATACAACAAGTTATTTTTGACACAATTGATGATGCAGACTGTGAATGAGCAATGTGTAATGATTAAGAACTTTGTATGTTATCTGTTATTACATAGTCTTCTTTATTCTTGACTAATGTTAATTATTTGAAATTACAAACATGTTATTGGTTATTGAGTCTAATTATATAAAAGTATTTCAAGTATGCAATAATGCTACTAATTTGTTTTATTTCAACTGAATCATCAGTGTTGTTTCAAAACAGTACATTTGATCTTGTGATTTTGTTATACGGGTATTGCTAGAAACTGTATTATTTATTTTTATTCATTGACTTGTTTTTGCTATTATTTATCACTTTGAAATCATTACTTTCAAGTTTGTTTATGGTGAATTTGTGATTCTACTGATATCCAGTTTTTCACTACTAGCTTGTAGTAAGGCTGATGTTCTTTTAACTATTACTTGTAGCCTTAACCATGTAGTCAATGTAAATTATTATCTAATAGTAGTACCTGTAGACTACTAACTAATTAATAATTGCTATAGATTTAACTATGTTCTCATCATACTGTATTCTTAACTCTACTAATTTTTATCCTCATGGTAAAAATAATAGTTTCATTCAAAAGTAATAAATTTGTGGGTACATATAATCCATCAGAAGTTTAAGACCCTATTTGTTATTTTGATAAATAATACGGGTCTGAAATCATGTATTGTTTCATTAATTATTAAAGCTTATTAAATTAATTACTTGATTTTTTGTTATGGCTGTATAAAAATTAAATGTGTTAATAAATTTCTTTTTATTTTATTTAAGACATCTTCAAATGCAGTCTTAAACTTATTTTCTTTTAATGGTAAATTGATGAATTGAAAGGTGTGTTGAAGGATGTTACCTAATAAGAATTCAATGCTAGCTAGAAGGTCTGACAAGCAAGAATATATATATATATATGGTAACTTGACCAATGGTCTCTATATTTTTATGTATGCCAAATATAAATAAAATATAAACAACAGTAGCATAACAACCAAAGAAGTTTATTTCAATTAAATACCAGTGGCATCAAAACTTAAAATTGTTTTATAATATCTTAGATAGTGTAAGTATTTAGTTTATCATATTGGAAGTGTACAGCTCCTTCAGCATTAAATATGCTTTGAACTGATCTCTAATATTGTAAGCTTCTCTACCAGCTCTGTTATAGCGTTTTGATTTAACACACTCTGCTGCACTGGTAACAATCTCCAAATTTATATTATGCATCATAGTTTCATTAATTCCCTCTTTATCTATAATGATATTGTGCAACAAGCAAACAGCAGTGACTAGTTTGTCTATGTGTTTTGGATCAACTTGTAACTCTGTCTTTAGACATCTCCATTTAGCAACTAGTATTCCAAATGCACATTCTACTGTACGTCTGGCTCTACTATGCCTATAATTGTAAACTTCAACATCATGTGGAACTGTTGCTGGACCTGAGCTGTAGGGGCGCATTAGGTAATCCTTTAAAGGATATCCTTGATCTCCTAGTATAACATAAGGAAGATTAAAAGTGGTCCCAGGTAATTGTCTTGCTTGGGGGAAAGGAAACAAACCCATTTCTATCTGTTTATAGAGATTTGACTCTATAAAAACACCACTGTCACTTTGCCTTCCATATGCTCCAAAGTCTACACTTAAAAATTTATATCTAGCATCTACCAATCCTTGAAGGATGAGTGAGTGAAAAGTTTTATAATTAAAGTATTTTGAACCTGATAATTTAGGACATTTAATTCGAACATGCTTCCCATCAATGGAACCAACACAGTTTGGGAAATTCCATAAATCTTCATAGTCCTTGGCACATTGCTCAAGCATTACTGCTGTTGGTACTGGCATATGCTTTTCAGTGAAGCAGTTCCATATAGCATCACAGGTCTCATAAATAATCTTGGCAATAGTTGAGTGGGCGATTCGATATGAAAAGGCCAAAGATCTGAAGGCTAATCCAGTTGATAGGTATCTGGAAAAGAAATTAATCAAATTAAACACTAAAAGCAGGTAATGACTGTAATGATCTACTCCCCACTACTAGGACATTCCAACCTAATTTAAAGCTTAGTTATTGCTTTTTTAATGTATAGAACACATCTGTTAACTATGGTATTTAGTGTATTAACAGTACTACAGACACTTGCCTCAATGTCACCGCCAGGCGTTCCTCTGGAGAAATGCATTTCCTGAAGCTACTCTGTTTTTCTATGTACGGCCTAATATTGTTGAGTATGTACTCAAAAGTGTCCCTGTTCATTCTAAAGTACTCGTAGAATTTCTGGGGCTGCTCCAGCAGTTTTGGAAACAAAGTGTGAAATTCGCCACATTTTTCTCTTTCAGCAAATATAGGATTAACCCATTCCTTTTCGTTTAGTAATAAAATCTTGAGAAGCATGTTTTCTGCTAAAAAATGAATCTTCATTTGGTCGTCCATTTTTGTTTTGAAAACAATGCCTGCCGGTAGTCAGACATACGTTCTGGCGGGCTACAGTGTAACCGCCGGGGCGCACCCCTCTTCGGCAGATTGGACAACACCTGACGTCAGATGAAAAAATTCGGTCTGCCGACGTATAGTGTATCCGCAGCCTTAGTGTACCGTCAATGTTCGGGTAACCCCGTCTTCGGATTTATCTTGACGTCTATTCTGATATTAGTATAGGGTCTTTAGAAATGTAATTAACAACTAATCGATATAGTCAAAACGAGAATTAAGAATATTTTAAACGTTACGGGTATTTCCGGATTTATCTAGAACTAGATATCTATTAAATTTAATAGAGATTTAATTTTTGGTCCTCGGAGGTTTAATTGAAAGCGTCAGTATGTCTTGCCTGCCGTTTACTTTCTCGTAGTCGGAGTATAGAGGAAGTATTGTGGTTTTAAACCTCAATGAGTCTGAAAAATTTAATTTTGTAATCTTGTCTGTATGTCAGTGTGTGCCTGTGTGTGTGTGTGTCTTTGTGTCTGTGAACACGACTACAAATACTTGCTTTGAAAGTCGATCAGTAGTAACTTGCTATCTCTAAAAGACTATTACCTGCCCCTTTCTTAGCCTGCTGTCTGCACTTAGGCAAAAATCACTCAACCATGGGAAATAGTTCACCCATGAAGGCCAACTTATAGAGCGATCGCTATAAAACATAAAAAAACACGTTTATACTAATAATCTGTAAGTTCCCCCACTTGTAGATTGTTTGACTTGAGACTCCATGTCAGCCTGTTGTTCTTCAATCTCTTCCCTGTGGCTGATATTTATTTGTTCCATTTTGCTGAAGTTTGGGGGTCGCCGTGGTCGAATCGGCAAAGCTCATGGTTGCTAAACCGAAAAGTCTCGAGTTCGAACCCTCGGGCAGATGAGGCTCGTTAGCTGGGGACAGCCACTCTTCTAGGAAAGACATCTCCAAAATTAAACAACTGCTGCCTTGTAGTTTGTTCTTGGTTGGACAAAGGCTATGGAAGCAAATCCAAAAAGAAAAGCAGGCTGAAATCGGAGTCAATGGCCTCAATGGCGCTTAACCAGTTGGCACGTAACGCTTAATTGTGTTGGAGGCGTGGTCGAGTCGGCAAAAAAGTTCATGGTTGATAAATTCGAACAAAGTTCAAACCCACTGGCAGATAAATCTCGATCCCCTTCAACACTAATAATTAAGAACGAAGAAGAAGAAGTAGAAGAGCTGAAGTTTGTCATGGAATCTCTGGGGTCCATTTTGGGGCGTAACTTTTATTTTTTTTTTATACTCCCTTTGGAATAGATTTCTTGGCTGCTAGTAAAATTGCTTTGGAGAAGGTGGTGGACGATTTGTTCTACTGTTTGGTTTTGCAGCTGATTAGTCAAATATACGAGTCTGAGAGGTTAGAAAAAAAAACAACTTGTTATTAATATTTTTGTAATTCCGTGATTTTCCATCTGAGGAGTTAAAAAAGATCCTCCAATTAATAATTTTGTAGTTCCGTTTATGGAGGGAAGAAGTTTCTGTTGGCCTTTTAAAAGTCGTACGAAGTCGTACGTGGATGAGAATTGTTTTTTTTTTGTGTTTGGAAATGTCGTTAGTAGCTTATATCTGGGGTAGGTGATGTTAACCATAATCTGGTGTAGAAAGTTGGTTTGTTATCACGTTTGTTTATAAGCCTAATTCCTTTCTTTTTGCCACTCTTTAATTTTCCGGTAATCTATCGTTTTAGGTACGTAAAATCGGCCGCGACTAGTAATGTGAAAAACAGGTGACTCCTTACATTTTAATAATTATTTCACATTTTGAGGAGGATTTATGTTTTGAAAAATACAAAAATGTTTCCTTGTTTCATTTATGTACCTGTTTTTAAACATTTGAATTAAAACTTTTCAGTAATAAATGAACACCAGCGATGTTTCCAACAGATGCAACCACGCTCATTTACTATAGCAGCCATCTTGTTAAAGTTTTATTTTTATAGACATATAGCGCGAAATTCAGGCGGAAGTCACTCTATTTTACAAATGGCTGCTGTTTATATAGCAAATCTTGCTTGCAGACAGAGCTGTTTAAAGTTAATTTCTGGCCTATATTGATATATTTAGCCATTGATTTAGGTTTATTATTCATTTATCTATAATATTTGACACAAACATATCACAATATACTTCTATTACAGCCTTGACAATGAGGTAACGTTTTCGTACATTAATAGCCGCGGGCGATTTTACGTACCCAAAACGATAGATTACCAATTTTCCTTTCCTTTAGCATTGAGGTCAGGGTAACCCCAGCTCTGATAGTGGCTGTTCATAAAAATTTAAAATTAATGTTTGAACTGAAAAAAACCTTTAAAAACTTAGAGATAAAAAAAATTAACCCCCAAATACGTTTTGTGGTAAAATCTTAGTTTAGCGTCGTAAATTCGGCCAAAACTAGTTATGTGGGAGAGAGTGAATTAATGAATATGTCATTAAATATGAGTATATTTTCGTATATTTTGATAAAGTATTATAGATAATTGAATAATAGATCACCATTTATGGTTAAATCAATTTAAATATCCTGAAATTAATTTTTATCAACCCTGTTCGAGATGGTAAATTTGCTATTAAAAACAGCAGCCATCTTAAGAAAATGTTATTGAGAGTAGCTTCCCTTTCATTTCTATTCGTATGAAAATATATTAAAATATGATTGTCTTGTTGTATTGTCCGTATTACAAAGCATTTTTTTAAAAATGTGAATTTCCTAACAAACAACTTTATTAATTCTAGAAGCATTGTGAGATGCAACTTGTATCCATGTATTAAATCACGTTTTTTTTACTAATGTTTAATTGATCTTACTATTACTATATAATTTGAGTTTTTTCTTATTGTTTGAATGTTCACTATTTTCATTTCAGGTTTTTCTTTTCATCAATTAGTAATTCTATTGTAACTTATGACATTTTTTTTACTTCTCTTTACCTTAATTAAACCCCAACCTCCGTCATATTTTTGTCGTAAATGTCACAACAAGTCATAATGTAAAAAATTACGCTTTCCTCTGCCTTTTCTAAGATCTCTAGCCATAATTTTGACAACAATAAATGTTTGTCATCGTTTATATATACAGAGAGACAAAATGTATTATCCACCAGCTTCCCTCGTAAAACATCATCTAAAACAATGAGCCAGTCCACCCCTTAAGTGAGTGTTGTCATTATGGTCGATCGCAAGTCTCAACCTGCCAGACACATTTTGGTTATCCTTTGTTGTCAAAATGTCAATATCAAGTACCCAAGTGAGTGACATGGGGTTGTCCCTAAATGATGTCACATATGATTTGCTATGGGAGTGAGTGAAGATTTGTGACGTCAACTCAGGCGGGTCCACAATTTATGACGTGTCGGTCTCATGAAAGGAGGTGAACGGGGAAAAATACCTAGGTGGTTGATGGAGAACCTCTGTAATGCTTTGTTCAATCAAAATAACGATAAATAAGCATTAGTATATGTATACCTTGCTTAAACGAATCATCACAAATGTTGCAAGCCTGCTAGTTTAAGACATTTGGCAAAACGGCCGCAACAC